GCTTCTCAAATCCAGAGTGGTTCCAGCTGTAAAGCTCCATGTTGACATGCACGGAGCAGTTTGAACTCTGACCCTTGCCTCCAAAGCTGTGAGACCCTTTGTGTAGCTGTGTTCTGGAAGGGAAAGAGGTAGTAGTGGGTGGGGGGGAGACCCTATCAAATTACTGCTGAGAATTAGAAGCTTTCCTCTGCAGGGAAAGAATGGGAATGTGCTGCTGCTGTTTCCTGCCACTCTAGAGAGAGAATTTCAAAAACTGGTTTTTCACTGTGCTTCTTTGAAGAGGGGTCGTGCTCTAAGTTATTTTGCTAGTGGGAAACACAGATGCTAAGCAGGAGAGTGACTTCAAATTTTAGATATATGTGGTTACTGAGGACTTCCTATGTGCAAAGCCAGCCTGCTGGACCCCTACAGAAAAAAAAAAAAAGAAGAAAGGAAGAAAGGAAGGAAGGAAGGAAGGAAGGAAGGAAAGAAAGAGAAAGAAAAGGAAAAGAAATGCATGAGACATATTCTCTGCCTTCCGGGGACTTGCTGTCTGGGGTAGATTTACAGCAGCTTAGAAGGTAGAAGGCCTCAGAAGGCAAGCGGAAAGGGCACGTCTGCTTGAAGGGCCCTTGGCGGCTGGCGGAGGGCAGGGGAACAGCTCAGGGCAGCTAGGGCATTGCAGACTGGAAATGCTGGATGTACATATGGGGCCTAGCAGCCATGGTGGCATGTCCAGGGGACCCCGGGGTCTGAAACCCAGACACCTGCAGGGACCAACAGGTCAGTAAGAGCCTGGGGTTGGGCTCAGAAGACTGGCAGGCTGGGCAGCTCCTTTGCTCACCAAGTATTGCCAAGCCTCAGTGCAGGTTCATGGTTTCCTGATCCTTCCTTTCTCTTCCAGAGAAGCCAGGATGCATGTCCATGTGAACTATAAAAGATCACCATTGGGGCGCCTGGGTGGCACAGTCGGTGAGGTATCCGACTCCTGGTTTTGGCTCTGATGGTGAGCTTTGGGCCTGGGATCGAGCCCCACGTTGCGCTCCGTGCTCAGCATAGAGTCTGCTTGGGCCTCTCTCTCTCTCTCTCTCCCTCTCTCTCTGCCCCTCCTCTCTGCACTCACACTCTCTCAAATAAATAAATACATCTTAAAAAAATAAAAGTCTACCATATTAAAAGATAACACATATTTAAATGTGATGTTATCCAAACCAAACACACTGCACACATCTTCGTGCATTCAGGCTGCTGTAACAAATCCCACATCTGTGACTTATAAACATTTATTTCTCATGGTTCTGGAGGCTGGAAAGTCCAAGATCAAGGCACCAGCAGACTTGGCGTCTGGTGATAGCCTGGTTCCAGGTTGTGGACTGTCAACTTCTCACTGTGTCCTCATGTGGTGGAAGGGGCAGGGGAGCTTTCTGGGGCCTCTTTTATAAGGGCACTAATCCCATTCACAAGGACTCTATTCTCATGACCTGATCACCTCCCTGAGGCCCCACCTCCCAACCTTAGGGGTTAGGTTCAACGAAAGAATTTGGGGAGGGACACATTCAGTCTATAGCAGCAGCAAGCTACATGGCAGGGCCGTGACTCAGGTGAGGCAAGCAAGACGCCCAGGGCACACACTGTGCGGAGGCCCTGAGAGTGAGGTCCCCTTATAGTTTGTACTCCACCTGCCTCTCTTGCCTCATCCGAGTCCTGGCCCCACTCGAAGGGCTCCCATTTGTAATTTAGGGCTCAAAGAGAAAAGAAGTGAAAACAGACTGGCAAAGTAAGGCCAGGGGGTGTGGTTCAAAAACTTCACTCGGTGGGCACTGGAGAGCCACTGAAGGTTTATGAGCAAGAATGGAGATGACTAGAATGTGCTCTAGTGAGAGGGCCGTGAAGAGGGTGGGTTAGCACAGGGGCAGGGTGGCAAGGCTTTCTTGGTAGGCCAGGCTACAGGTACGGAGGCCTCCACAGAAAGCAAAAAGGGTTATCTCGTAGGAGGCAGTAGGGTGTGAGAAGCAGGTTGGGAGTTGGGTTCTGGAATCAGGCTGCCCCAGTTTACATCCTGGCTCTTGCATGTGGTTATGATGTTGGGCAAACAATAGCAATTTAACCCCTCTGTCTCTATCAGTCTCTTCATCCGTAAAATGGGCTCCCAGCAAGGCCTGCCTGCCTCCCAGGGTGTGGTGGAGGTTCAGCAAGGCCACCTCTGTGAACAGGGCCTGGCACATGGTAAGCGCTTAAGACACAGTAGGCACGTGAGGACTGTCATCAATACGGAGGGACCCTAGGGTCACCAGCGCCCACAGAGTGAAGCAAGCCCCGGAACAATACAGATTAGAATCACTCGGGGTGGGGTGGGGGGGCTCCTTTAAACATCTCCAAACCAAGGCCTCACCCCAGACCAATCAAATCACAATCTCTGGGGGTGGGGACTGGGCATCAGTATTTTCTGGAAGCTTCCCAGGAGTTTCCAATGTGCAGCCAAGCTTGGGAACCATTGCTAATCTAGAACTTTGTATGCCTGAGGCCTGAACTGGGAGAATTGACCTTGGAAAGACACACACAGGCAACCATTTTGTAGCTGGAGGTGAAGCCCGATGGGGGTGGGGGGTGGAAGACTATGTGACCTCGGGGCCCAGCTAGGGGCTGCTACTCTGGCTCCAGGGGGCCTTGCCCCCCCTGGCAGCCACTGGCACCCCCACCCCCAGGCCGGAGAGAGCCCGCTGCCTGCACCCGCGGAGGCCTCCGGAGCAGGAGACCTGAGCCGCAGCTCTGAGCCCAGCTTGGGCACCAGAGGGAGCTCGTGGGGACACGCCACAGCTCCATCCCTGCAGCTGGTTCAAACTGGTTTGGGCAGGGTGCGGCCCTGGCAGGCTGCATGCCAGGCCTTAGGCTTGCTGCCTGCCCCTGGGTCTCCCCAAGAGCTGGAGACTGGGGGCAGGGCGCTGGGGCACAGCCAAACGCCACAGAGAGGCCAGGAGATTTTTACACATTCAATCCTCTTTGTTCAAAACCATGGATGTGGCCTCCTACGGGGGTCCCTGGGTAATGCCCACAGCAAGTGGGAGCCCCTAAGTGGGGGTCGTTCTCAGACTTTGGTATGCATCGGAATCAACTGCTGAGCTGTTAAGAGGCAGATGCCTAGCTCCCCAGAGATTCTGATTCAGAAAGTTGGGGGAGGGCTCCGGGCATCTGTATTTTTAGCAAAATGTTTCTAAGGCATAATCACACATTTAAGGGGAAAAAAAAAAAAACAAAAAAACCCAACCTGACAGCAAAATGACTGTTGGCTAGCCTGCTGAGCCCAGGGAAGAGACGCTGGTGAAGAGCACAGATCCTTCCCCAGGCACCCCATCTCCAGGGCAAGGGGGTCTGAGCAATCTGCACCTTGAGATAATATCCCAGGCCTTTCCTTTGTCTTGCTTTTCATGAGTCATTTTGGGCATTCAATAGGTTTAACTATGATAACAAACCTCAGCAGAAGAAAGAAAACGTTACAAATATCTTTGAAAGCCCGTTCATCACCCCCCCCGCCCCCCCGCCCCCCCGCCCCCCAACTTTCCTGAACGCAGTCTGCGATGTTCCCAGGCGCAGCTTTATACTTTTACTCCATATGGCTGTATCCATACACAATATAGAGTGTGGTTTTGCATGTTTTTAAAACTTTATGTTAATGGCAGCATGCCCTACGGAGCCTTCTGCAACTTGTCTTTTTTTTTTTTTTTCTTTTCTTTTTTTTTCTTCTTAGCATTATGTTTATGAGGCTCATCCACCAGGGGAAGTTTGCTGTGCTCGGGGCCTGTTCGGCTCATCTGAAGTCAGATCTGGACTTTTCTGAGGGAGGGTCCCAGCCCACCTGCGGGGCTGAGGGTCTGGCCTTGGTTCCTGGGTGTCTGTGTGATGAGAGAAAGGGAAATCATGACAGTCATGAGTGGCCAAGTTCAGGTTCCCTAGGTTCCTATCAAATCCTTTAACCAGCCACCTGTGGCCTAAATCTTTGCCAGGATTTTTTTTCCAGAAAGCGACGGTGACCTAGAGGCCTGTTTGGGCAGAGATGTGGAGAAATTAGCAGGACGCAGACGTGGAAGTGGGCCTCGTGCAGCGACGGATCACCCACAGGACGGGTCGAGCATGACCCCCCTGCCTCGGGTTATCGGCTAAACTCTACATTTAGATTTAAGCGGGGGTGGGGGGGTGGGGGGGTGTTACCGCTTATATTTATTTACAACCCTCAGCCCAGCCTGATGTTGTTACACGAATGCAACATAAAAAAAAAAAATGCCATGGGAAAAATAAGAACTCTAGACTTCCCTATACCTTTTCACTGTTTTTAGGATTTTCCTTATTAGCATTGTTTTGGGGGATGCACCCCGCCGTCTTCAGCCTCCAGAGGGTCTACACAAGCCTCCCAGGGGTGTGTTTGCGGGGGTCGGGGGTCGGTGGTGACACACTTGGAGCGCTTGAGACTTCCCTGGGGAGTTTATTTTAGAAGCCGCCCATGGGACGATAAGGACCGCTGCACCCGGGTTCCCTAATTTGCAGGACTGTCCGCCTGGCGCACGCGAGATGCTGGAGTTAGGGCGGCCCTGGGGGCGGGGGCTTTGGGCTGCAAGCGAGAGGACCCCCCGCACGGCCGCGCTCCGTCCCGAGGCCCGGGCCCCACCCCCGGGGATTCGGGGATTCGGGCTGGAGCGGCCCGTGGCTCCGCCCTCATCCCGACGGGGAGGGGCGGGGGGGGCTCTGCCGGCGGGTCCCGCGCTCGGGGGCACGCGCGAATCGCCCCGCGAGCTTCAAAAGCTGCAGGTGCCCAGGTGCCGCCCCGGGGCCCGTGCGCGCGCGGGGCTCTGGAAGTTGCAAGGGCCCCAGGTGCTGCGGCGGCGGGCGTCCGAGCAGCTCCGCCTCTGCCAGGTGGAGCGAGGGCCGGCGCGCACACCGCGCGCCGCCACTGGGTGGCGCTGCGCGCTCGGCCCGGCGCTCGCCGAGGGCGCGCACCTGCCCCGCCTCCTCCAGGCGGGCCGCGGGGCATGCAGCGGGGCGGGGGCGGGGCTCCGAGGCCGGCTCCCCCGCAGCCGCCGCCCGCTGGACCCCGCCGCGCTCCTGATGCTGCTGGTGGACGCCGACCGGCCGGAGCCCGTGCGCAGCGGGGCGCGCGAGCTCGCGCTCTTCCTGACCCCGGAGCCCGGGGCCGAGGTAGGGCAGGCGCGGGACGCAGGTGGGGGAGGCGGGGGGGCTGCACCCCGGGGCAGGAGAGGGTGGGGGCGGCCTCGGGCGCGCGGGGACCCGAACCCTTGGCGTCCCGCCGCTCCTCCCGCGCCCCGCGCAGGGGCCTGGGGCGCCCCCTCCTCCGCGGATGGGCGATGCCGGCGCGGCTCGGAGGGAGATGCGCGGCGGGGGCGCCGCTCCGTCCTGCAGCGGAGGCCCGCGGGCGCCCAGCCCAGCCCAGCCCCGCGCCGCATCCCGCCCGGGCCTCGGAGCCGCTGCCCCGCCGGCCGCGCGCGCCCGCGCCCGCGCCCCGCGCCCCTGCGCTCAGAGGCTCGCGGGCTGCGTCGGTGCGGGGAAGCCCCGGCCCCGGCCCTGCTGTTGCTAAGAGGGAAAATACCTCGTCTCTAGCTGCACTTTCTATTTTAAAAGCACAGAATAAAAAGTAGATCTGAAACTAGGCCCTGCACCTCGCAGCTGAAGCCAGTCTGGTAGCAGCGCCGTGGAAAAGTTCTGTGTCCAAGTCCGCCAGGAGTTATTTAGGGCTGGAATTCAACTCACTCTCTTTTTAAATCTCAAAAGCAGGACAGAAGCACATCAGATAAAGGGTGAGCACCCCCCCACACACACACACCGTGTCCCCAACTCCACTTCGCAATGTGGTGCGTGTTACTTCATTCCAGACACTTAAAAAAAATGTATTCGTACATGCGGATCTGTATCTATATTTTTATTTATTTATTATTATTTTTTATGATAGTCACAGAGAGAGAGAGAGAGAGAGAGAGAGGCAGAGACACAGGCAGAGGGAGAAGCAGGCTCCTTGCAGGGAGCCTGATGTGGGACTCGATCCCGGGACTCCAGGATCACACCCTGGGCTGAAGGCAGGCGCCAAACCGGTGAGCCACCCAGGGATCCCTGTATCTATATTTTTAATACTATGTGTTGGTTTTTATAAAGCCCCACTTGATGCTGTAATACTCTTCTGCGAATTGCTTTTTTGTTTTGTTTTGTTTTCTACTCAAAATACCATGGACAAATGGGGAGTGACTGCTAATGATAAGGTACGGGGCTTTTCAGGGTGATGAAGATGTTCCCGAGTTAGCGGTGAGGGCTGCAACGACGTTGTGAATATTCTGAAAACCGCAGCATCGCACACTTTTGAAGGGTGAACTTTAATGGTACGTGAATGGCACCTCAGTTTTACAAAATAGCACCGCCGTATTTTCGTGTCGGAATGTATCCATAAGAGCTGTCCAATAGAAATGCATCCTGAGCCGCGAATGTGAGCCATTCATGTAATTTGAAATGGGAACCACATAAAAAAGGAAAAGACGAACAGGTGAAATTAGTCTCGATGTATTTAAAATAACAGTGCCTCCAAAATGTCAATCATTTTAACATGCTATCAATGTAAAAAAAAGAATCAATGAGATTTAAAAATCTTTCTTTTGTGCTAGGTTTTCTTTTTTTTTTTTTTAAGATTTTATTTATTTATTCATAGACAGAGGGGGTGGGCAGAGACACAGACAGAGGGAGAAGCAGGCTCCATGCAGGGAGCCCGACACGGGACTCGATCCTGGGTCTCCAGGATCACACCCCAGGCTTCAGGCAGTGCCAAACCGCTGCACCACCGGGGCTGCCCTGTGCTAGGTTTTCAAAATCAGGGTTTAACTTTTGAGAGAGAAAGAGAGAGGTAGGAGCAGAGGGCAGAGAGCGAGGGAGAATCTTAAGCAGATTCCTCCTCTCCTAGTGGGGGGCCCCTCTTGGGTCTTGATCTCGGGGTTCTGAGATCGTGACCTGAGCCAAAATCAAGAGTTGGATGCCTGATGGACTAAGCCACCCAGGCGCCCCCAAATCAGGCTTTTATGTTGAATTTAGGACACATCTCAGTTTGGACCGGCCACATTCTCCGTGTTCAGTTGTCACATGAGGCTGGTGGCTTCCAGCAGGTCTCCACCATTCTTTGGCTTCCTAGTATCCCACAATGAAATAACAATTACTCCTATTTCCTGGGCACATCCTATGTGCTAGCGGTGTGCCGAACCCTGTTCCCGGTGACCCAGTGGCCCGGAGGTTTGTGGGTCAATCTTATAGCTGAGAAACCTGAGGCCCTCGTGGGATCGGTGAGGCCCGCTGGAGGTGCTATAATTTGTGAATCCTGCCCCCGGAGATGGGTGTTTGGGTTGTCTCTAGTTTTTCACTGGTTTAAGGAAACGTGGGCACCTTTCTTGTTCCTTCTCTCCCTTGCTCTCAGCAGAGATGTCATTGTGCCCAGCGGCTAAACATCAGCTTCATTTTGTCTCTATTAGGGACAGCCTTCAAGAGAAACTGTGTGTATTAACTTCATTTTCTCGCTCAGGGCTCTCTTTAACTCAGACACGGGCTGGCTCACGCTCATTTGTAAGGGATGTAATGAAGAGCCCAACTCCCTGTAGCTCTGCGCGGCGATGAACCCACTTAGAGGGCTCACTGAAGTTTATTTACCAGAAGACACAGAAACTGCCAGAGCAGAGTCACTTGCAACCTCTACTTAAAGCTTAATTCATTAGCAGGTCCCCTCTCTGGGGCTGTTTACAGATGGGCCAGTGAGCTTGCAAAGGGAGATCTGGTCTGGGAACTGGCCTGGACAGCTGGGCCCTTCTCTTGGGGCAGCTTGGGGCTTTTAGATGGAACAGTAGGGGTCCCCAGACCAGCTAACTCCAGTCCTAGGGGTGTCCTGGGGTCCCTAGTGAGATGGGGCTGCATTCGACACCTTGAACCCCCTACGATGTGCCAGGGGCCGGGGACAGCAGTGAAACACGCAGGGACCCTGCTTTCAGGACACTGCCAGACAATAGATGCGGAACACACAAAATCTCTAGATGGTGATGGTGGCACTGGGAACAAAGAGGCGGTGGTGCTGTAGAGGGTGTCTGTGTGAGTCAGCAAGACAACAGGGGGCGGAGAAGGTCTCTCCAGGGAAGCTGAGACCTGAGTGGTACCCACCGAGGAGTGTGCAAGAAAGAGGAAGCACAGGGACCTGACTTTTTGGGGTACAGTCAGGGAGGGCTTCCTGAGGCAGCAGTATTTTAGGCTGAGGCCTGTAGTGTGAATGAGAGCCGGCCAGGCTAAGAGGAGAAAAATAACCCAGGCAGAGGGAACAAAACCCGCAAAAGCCCTGGGGTGGAATGAAGCAGGGTGCCCTTCAGGATGGAAGAGCAGCAGGTGGAAGGGGGAGCAGTGGGAGGTGTGGCTCGTGAGGAGGACAGAAGCTGCACCCCGGACCGTGCTCTGTGTCCTGGGATGGAGGAGCTGCTGCGGGCTGGCATTTTGGCATTGGTTGGCAGGTGCGAGTGTTTTACTGTTTTTCAGTGTCTTTGGGGTATTCTGTTCAACAAGTTTTTTGTGTTTTTTTTTTTTTACTTTCTCTCTTTTTCTGATTTGAACTTCCTCTTTTGGGGGAAGTTTCAGGGCGGTCTCCAGAAGCTGCTTCAAGATGGCAGAGAGAGAGAGAGAGAGAGAGGTGTTGGCCTCTTGGTGCCCCTCTGATTCAGGAGGGAAGGGCGCTCAAGGGCCCTCCCGAATGGCTGAGCACTTATACCCATGCACAGGTGAATTCCTGGCCAGGTTCTTTCAGGATCCTGTTTGGTTCCTCTGCTGGCACACAGGACAGGCTTGGCCCGCAGATGAGGCTCATGGCCTAGATGGGAAGAAGTCAAGCCAGCACTTTCTCAGGCCTGAGGTCTCTGTTTGAGTGAGCAGAGGACGATAGCAGAGAAGACACCTGGGTCTTTTAACCGCAAGTGGATTAGATCAGGGGTTGCAAACTGGTGGCCCAGAGTGCTGAGTCCAGCCCTCTGATGTGACTGGATCTATCAATATAATTTTTTAAATGGAGGATTCTCATGAAAAACTCTGAGTTTCTTGCTTATTTAAAATATTAGACTGTTTTGTTTTTAAGTAGGCTCTATGCCCAACGTGGGGCTTGAGCTCACGACCCCGAGATTAAGAGTCACGTGTACCACTGACTGAGCCACCCAGGCACCCTTCCATCAGTAGAGCAGGTGACTCTTGATCTCAGGGTCATGAGTTCAAGGCCCACATTGGGCAAAGAGGCTACTTTTAAAAAAATAAAATAAAATATTAGCAGGTATGGTCGGTCTGGGTTCACGTTTCCTAGATGTGGCCCTCCTGTTTACCGCAGTCCCCACCACCACCGCCCACCCCCTCCGTTGTATTCCCCGCACTGAAGCTAGTATCAGGTACCCTTTACCCTTGGGCTTGAACCTTTGATTTTTCTGTCGTCGTGTAGGGATAAAAACAAAATGAATTCTCCAAACTTTGTGTTTGGACTAATGTAGGGCAACACAAACCAGCCAGAGATGCCCTTGGGTTTCATGAAAAAAACATAGAGGAGGCTGTTCCTTTGTGAAAGCAAAGGATATTCTCTTATGTCCAACCTGCAAACACCATGTGCTTATGGGGGAGCCCCCCCACCCCCAGCATGTGCCCTGCCCCTGTGACCTGCTGGTCTGCTTTCAGCATTCAAGTGGGGGAGGTTCAGATGCCCTGTCTCAAGATGTAGCTCTGTATTCATTTATTCCCCAGGTCATTACGGTGAACCTGCTGTGTGCTGGGCACTGTCCTGGGTCCGGGGAGAGGCCTGCGAGGCAGAGGGGGGCCTGTCCTCCAGGACTGGTGTTGCAGACAGGGAGATGAGCAGACCAGTAGTGCTCAAGCAGTGCCGCGAGGGACACAGCAGAGGGACTCTGATGGAGACACACAGGTTGGGTTGGGAGGGACCACCAGGCCGAGATCCAGCAGTGTGCGCGTGGCCCGAGGGGCAGACGGAGGAACAGGGAGTGGGTGGGCCTCAGCGGCCAAGGGCCAGGGTGAGCAGAGCTGGGCCAGGGGGAGGACTCTGGATTCGATCCTGGGCTCCTGGCCGGGAGCAGGGGTGAGCAGGCCACAGTAGGGGTGATCAGATTTTGGCCTCATGGCTGCAGGGC